GGGGTGCGGATTCATACGGTTTAACCCGAAGGATCTGAACTGCAACCAGACGAACATTTCAACTTCAATAACTAGACAAGGAACAACAACAAGAGTTGCTAACAACAGGACGAGACATTCGGCTGAACTGAAAGTTCAATCATTGAATACAATAAAGTAACTCTGTATTTATCAGGTCCTTATGAACGACCAGTACAAGCCCCGCGTAAACCTCTGGGCAGATAAGATAAGCGCATATATGAAGACATATTAAGAATGTCATTGTTATCTACACGTTCCCTAAAAATGACACGCTCATGCATATTATCACTGCTATAAGTCATTATAATACAGCTCATGTAACGGATACTTTCATATGATAACGGTCATTATCTTATTGTTACCTTCTACGTTGTCCACATAATAATATATTCATACACACAGCCCTTATCTACTGAATACAATCCTTTGAAAAAAATCTACATCCCAAACTAGATCTCTTTATTTGTGAACACTCCCCAGGAAACTGAAAATATAGCGAGATGTTATTCGATCAGTCGAAGCTAGAATAGAATGCAAAGTGCATACATGCGGCCTTTTTTTCTAACAGGCTATATGGTAGAAGATGGCCACTAAATTTTGGTGTTTCAAAGCTTGAGTGTCCTTGGAAACTGTAAATTTACATTTTCTGTGCCTTTGATCAATGTGGGTTTTTTTTTCTTAAATAAAACACACAGAAATGAGCTTTTAAATTGACAAAATAGGTGCTGAGTTAATTTATTAAAGTCGATAAAAATCGGTTTCTTCAATTTCATTATTTTGACGAGCACCTGATTTTCCCACTGTGCCACCCACATGATTAATATTACAGCGATAACAACACCGAAAATAATTTGCACCTAGAAGAAGGGTCTACGCACGCAAACAAAGCATCATGTGTATAAACGGACAAGTAACAAAATTTAGGAAAGCCCAGAAGTAAAGGAAGAAGCAACCACCTGCAGAGTAAACCCCCAGGAGTTCTGATGGCGAACCAGACGTATAGTTCTCCGTCGTCTGCTCTCGTCCGGGGCGGAGGGAATGGCTCGGTCCTGCGCCAAGTGCTGCAGCTCCGCGCCGACTGAGCCCTTGAGTCGCGGCAGCTGAAAATACCAGAGGGACATTAGTAAAACATGGTATCAGTGGAAACTTTTTTTAAAATGTAGGTGTTTTTCTCACCCCAA